CCCTGCGCGTTGGGCCTGTGTCATGTCTGTTGGCGGGGTGTAAGGTTGGAATTTTCTTGTTGCAGCAGGTTGTCCCATGCACCGCACAGGAATTGGTGGAGGCGGTGCTCGACAGCCGTCCAGTCAGGTTTTGGGTTCCCTCCTGAGTTCAGGGTCAGTCGAGGCAGTAGTAAGAAGATTCGCCATGCGCCCCGGCTATCACAAGATCGAATGACTCGAGGAAAGGTTGCACTATCGATTAGTACAAGGCGCTTTTATACTTCCAGAGTACATCAGGTAACCAGGTTTATCCTATCCTAAGGGAATAGACCCTTCTAGAAGATAGAATCACCCTGCGTATAGCCACGCGAGACTATTGGCCTTAAGGGATTACGGCAGGATTACGCCAGATAGCGCACCAGTACGTCCCAAGCCTGGTCGGTGATATAACTATAATAGTAGGACAAACCAAAGGTTAATGGAAAAAATTGAGAATAGGAAACCAAATGAGATGAGATAAAAAGAGAAATGAAAGAGAAAGGAATTAAGAAAAGGGACAAGTGGTGTAACGGGGTCGTACTCTCACACTTCCCCCCCTCAAAGCTGGGTGGTAGAAGTAACACCCTGCTTGACAAGGTAGTCATGCAGAGGACAATGGGCGTTACCCATGTCGGACTCAGGGACCCAGCTGTCCTCAGAAGGATCATAACCCTTCCAACGGATGAGAAGCTCCACGGTGCCATTTTGACGTCGACGGTGTGCAAGCACGGACTCGACCTCGTACTCGTGTTCATTCTGGACGAGGACGGGTGGCGGCGGCGGCGGTTGGCATCCGACGAAGATCGTGTTCGGATCCCGATAGGGCTTCAGAAGTTGGACATGGAAGGCGTTGTGAATCTTCCATGTGGCTGGCAGACGCAAGCGGAAGGTAACAGGAGTAACCAGCGCTTCGATGAGAAAAGGCCCGCAGAAGCGAGGTCGCAGTTTAAACGGGAGGTGGCTGATGTCCAGGTTGCGGGTGTCAAGAAGCACCTGGTCTCCCACCGTGATGGTGTGGTCGTTGCGATGGCGATCGGCCTGGCGCTTTTGTTGCTCCTGAAAGTCGAGGAGGCGCTTGTGGGTCCGATCCCAAAGCTGATGCATGGTTGTGATGAAATCATGTGCAGGTTGTACTGTAGCGGATGTGGGCGGTTTCTGTGGTGTGAGTGGGTGGCGTCCGTAGCAGAGGAAGAACGGCGTCTGTCTAGTAGCGGCAAGGATTGCGTCATGACCACTGGTGGTAGGTGGTAACCCGGTGATGAAGTCCAGGCTAACCACTTGCCATGGTTGTTCTGGGACAGGAAGAGGCTGCAGTAGTCCCGCCTTTTTCTGCTTGCTACTCTTCATCCGCTGACACGTATCACACGAGGTGACAAATTTCTGTACGTCATCTGCTATGTGGAGCCAGTAGTAGTGTTTGGCGATACCGGTGAGCGTCTTGTTGCTACCGAAGTGTCTCGCGTAGAGGTCGTCGTGATATTCTTCGAGTAGTAACTAGCGCAAAGGAGGGTAATTGGGTACCCAGATTTTCATTGATCCCTTCCGGAATGCGATGTCACTGTCCCACTGTAGCAAATGTCGCTTTTCAGCCAAGGGGATTTCGGGGTCGATGGTGTACCCGTGTGTGAAGAGTCCCTTGACTAGTGGATTCATCCCTTCAATCTGAATGGCGGCAACGTGCGCAGGCCGGCTAAGAGCGTCTGCTTTGTTTTTGTGGCCGGGCTTGTACACGATGTCGTAGTGGAAGTGTGTCTCAAGGAAGTCGATCCACCGGACCTGCCGCCTGGAAAGGTTGGGTTGTGTCTTCAAGTATTTCAGGCTGCAGTGGTCGGAGTAGACGGTTGTTCGTCGTCCTTCGAGATAACATCTCCACGCTTTGAAGGCGATGACGATGGCAAGGGCCTCTTCGTCGTGTATCGGATAGTTTAGTTCTGCTCCATGTAGTTTCTTGCTGAGGTAGGCGATTGGTTGCAGTCCATTCCCCTGGTCTTGCATTAAGACTGCTCCCACTGCCTGGTCGCTGGCGTCGGCTTCGACTACGTAGTCGCGTTCGAGATCTGGCAAGATGAGTACCGGGGAGGTCGTGAGTGCTTGTTTCAGCTGCTCCACGGCTTCCTGGTGCTTTGGTTCCCATTTGTAGGGCGTGTTCTTCTTCAGCAGATTCGTGAGTGGTGCTGCGATTTTCGCATATTGTGGCACGAAATTGTTGTAGTAATTAGCGAAGCCTAGGAACTGCTGCAACTCCTTCACGTTCTCGGGTGTCTTCCACGTACGTACGGCTTCGATTTTCTTGGGGTCGACGTGAACTCCTTGAGCGCTCACCATGTGTCCTAGGAACTGGACCTTCTCGAGGGCGAATTCGCTCTTGGACA